GGGTGGGGGTGGGTCCTTTTATGGGGCTGCCCTCAGCGATGCCTGAACAGATATCCAACAGGTCTCCCATGACTAGATCCCGAAACTTTGCATCGTGTTTTCTAGTAAGCCTGCCGGTAGGCACTGTACAAACCGAAGCGGGAAAAAGGCCAAGAAGTGAGGCCACTGCTGCACCGGTCATTCTACTTTCCAGGCGTGGGCCTTAGTCGGTCGTCCCGCCTCCACTGCCCCGCCCCGTACGAGGGGGCCTGCATACGGTTAGGCAGCAGCTGGAGCGACTTCCTTCCTCTTTGAGCAAGATGGCGGGAGGCGAGGTTGGCGTGACTCTTGGCCAGCCACATCTGTCTCGTCAGGATCTCACCACTTTGGTGAGGGTTCGCTTTGGGAGGATACGGAGTGAGCTTGGGAGCGGGGATGATCGAGCCTCTCGGGAGGCGTTGGGACGAGTCAGTGCTGTCAGGAGCATGGGCTTAGGAGGGAGCCCCGGAGCCAGGCTCCCTAAGCCGCATTCGCGCCACCGCCTGTACCTCGGCTAGTCTGCGAGCTGGGCGTGGTGGGGTGTGTGATCTTGGGACTTCTAGCTTCTAAGGGATTCATCGGGAAAGTCTGGGTGTTAAATGTCATTGAGAATTTTACCTGTGAAGGTCTGGGAAGGGGATGGCTATACTGTCTTCAGTGCTAATGCTCCCGAGATTGGGGGCCTGTGGCCTCCAGATCTCCTGTGGTGAGTGGAGATGTAGTGTGCTGTGTAACGCTGAGGGGCTCTTAGGGCTTCCCAGCCATCAGATCGCTTATACAGGAAAGGCGGTTTGGAAGTACAAGGGAGCTATACAGATGGTGGCGAACTGTGGATAGCAAATGTGAAGTGAAAGGAAAAGTTTTGATCTGTTGTACGTGCAGTGTTTTAAAATAAATATATTCTTTTGCAGGACGTTACTAAGTTGACGCCACTTTCACACGAAGTTATCAGCAGACAAGCCACAATTAACATAGGTAAGATAAGGATAACTTAGAGACCCGACTTGCTTAATCTTCAGCAAGTAATTTTAACCTCTCTTTTTGTGTGATTACTTGAATAATATGAGGATGCAGATATTCAAGAAATAGATGTTGAGTTCTTGTGAGCAAAGATATTTTGGGGAAACGAAGAATGCCGCCCATGTTTAGCTTATAGACGAGTGAGAAGAAAAGCTGTAGACATATGAAAAGTTTAATAGTATAAGGCAGTATGTAATCATTTGTGGCAGCAGTTTAAAGAAGGGTGGACCCTGTCTGTACTTGCCAGACAGGGTTATTGCAAGGGCAGTTTATTAAAGTTTTATTTGATATATAAGGTATAATTAAGTAGCATATCTTTTTTTTTCTTAATTGGCACCTAGAACTTTAGAGAAGTTATGTTGACTGAGTGTAAATTTTGGACATTTTGAGAGTCTAGACAGCACAGTAAAACCTTGTTAAAAGTAAGACTCGGCCATGAAGCTATTAAAAAGTTATAAAATGTGTTATCCTTGACAACATTATTGTAATTAAACTTGGTTGTTTTCTCATTTTTGTGAATTCCTTTTTGTTGTGTCAAGGCTTGTCATACCTATTTATTTCATTCTGGAAATGCTGTAAAGTTTCTTAATGTACAAGACTTTATGCACTTTTTGTTGAGTGTTTATTTTAAATGAAGGCAGTCTTTTCTATGATTAAAAACATAAGATGAATAGCTTTTGTTATGCTGAGTATGGTTTTTATTTTTATTTATTTATTTTTTTAAAAGATGACCGGTAAGGGGATCTTAACCCTTGACTTGGTGTTGTCAGCACCACGCTCAGCCAGTGAGCGAACCGGCCATCCCCATGTGGGATCCGAACCCGGGGCCTTGGTGTTATCAGCACCGCACTCTCCCGAGTGAGCCACGGGCCGGCCCCCTGAGTATGGTTTTTAAATAAGATTGTTAGTTACATGAAAAGTTCCCTTCAGTCCTGTATCAAAACAAGTTTTTAGTAGGAAAGGATACATAAGAGGAAAAATTGAAGTCACTGTTAGTTTTACGTTGCTATTTACAGTGATTTATGGCTTTGGGTTTTCTACTCTTAACACTTTGAAAAAATATTTGGTGTAATTGAGTTCACATAAGGTAATTTTTTTGTACTTTTAGGTACAATTGGTCACGTAGCTCATGGGAAATCCACAGTTGTAAAAGCTATTTCCGGAGTTCACACCGTCAGGTTCAAAAATGAATTAGAAAGAAATATTACAATCAAGCTTGGATATGCTAATGCTAAGGTGAGCTGTGTCCTGTGGAACTAAAAACTATTTAACTTTAGTTGTTGTGCAGATAACAAATCCAAATCTCTTTTATCGAAACTTTTAGATTTATAAACTTGATGACCCAAGTTGTCCTCGGCCAGAATGTTATAGATCCTGTGGAAGTAGTACACCTGATGAGTTTCCTACAGACATTCCAGGGACTAAAGGGAACTTCAAATTAGTCAGGTGACATCTTTGGTGCTAAAAAACACTTTATTCTTTTTGTTTTATTATTTTGTGCCTTGTGTTTTTTGAAATGTTTAATTGAGATATTAAACAATGAACCCAATTGCTAAACAGTTTTGTTATTTTTCCATTATTTTATGTTTTTATTGCCTGTAATGATGGTAATTTGAAAAGTCAAGTATTTGAATCTAAGTTAAAGTACTTACACGCAAATTCCCCAAACTTAAAAGTATTGCATAAGCTGAACAGAATGGAAGGAGACAGCTCATTGGATTTAAGGGATTCTTTTTCCAGGATTCCTCAATTTCTTTTATATAGTGTTGTTTCTGTTTATTAGATAGAAGAGGAAAAAGGTATTTTTAATTACTTCTCTAAAACTCATGGGTTTGTTCCCTATCTAGTTTTCTGAATATGATTGCCTATCCTGGTTCTTTATCAGAGAATACTGACATCTATCTAGTGATTTTTATGGGGGATTGGGGATGACCCACAAAGAAATTTTAGGGATTAGGGAGAGGCAAGTAAGGCCTTTCTTGCCTTGGGCCCAAAATTTAAGAGGATGTACTGGCTAGCAAAAAAAAAAAAAAATTTAAGGAGGGATATGTTAAAAAACTCAGTAATCATGGTATTTTAATGCAGTATTGTTTTGAAATTAATGCAAAAATTGCAAGGAATAGAATATCAGAATTTTAAATAAAGGCAGACTCAATATTACTGGATTATTTTTCCTTTGCTTCAGTATCTTTTTTTTTTTTTTTGGTTCTGCATATTATTGTTAATTGATTCTGTTTTCATTTAAAATTTTGGTATTTTGGGGCTGTCTGGTTAGCTCTTGTTGGTTAGAGTGTGGTGCTGATAACACTAAAGTCAAGTGTTCGGAACCCTGTACTGGCTAGCTGTCAAAAAAAAATTTTTTTTTTTTTGTATTTTGTTCATTATGGATTTTTTTTGCATTAATTTTGATTTTTTAAAAAATTTTGCAAATTTAACTATTTGCCTATTACTGAGTTTTTTTGGTATCTCCTTAAATTTTGTTCCTGAAGCAAGTGCCTCACTTGCCTCACAATAGTTCTGGACCCTGATCAGGAATCAGCAAACTTTTCCCATAAAGGGCCAGATAGTAAATATTTTCAGCTTTGCAGGCCATAGAGTCTCTGTTCCAAGTACTCGTTTCTGTTCTTCTATTACAAAAGCAGATGTAGACAGTACGTGGGTGAATGGATATGGCGCTGGGCCAGATTTGGCTTAAGGGCCATAGTTTGCTGACCCGTTTCAGATCATGACAGTGAACATACAGTTTTAAAAAACAATCATGATTCTCAGTGAGTACCATAGTTTTGTTAAGTTAGTGCTGTCATCTTCACATGAGATGGGCAGTTCCAGTTTTTCAAGGTGCTATAGGAATTTTTGGCAGATTTTTTTTTCAGATGACAGTCCTCATTCTGTGTACACGGTTTTTGCAAGTTATTGGGTTTTAGCTTTCAAATCAATCATATTCCCAGTATAAACTCTATACCATTATTCTGTATCATATTCACTTCGATTGGATATGGGAGTTTCTATTTCTTCAGTTATTTCTACACAGAGCTAATTTCATTTGCTTTGTAATGATCTGCAGTGATTTTACTCAGCTACTAATCTTATTTCTAAGTTCTAGAAACACTAAGTCCTGTAACCATTTTACAGCAATAAGAGTTAACTTTAGGAAATGCATAACTTGCATGTTTAAAAATTGGTTAATCTAAAGGCTAATTGTTATTTCTCAACTACTAGACATGTTTCCTTTGTTGACTGTCCTGGACACGATATTCTGATGGCTACTATGCTGAATGGGGCAGCAGTGATGGATGCAGCTCTTCTGTTGATAGGTAAATACATCAGAATTGGTTTAAGGAAATCTGTGGAACAAATCCAAGACGGAATATTTAAAGGGGGACTAAGGGCTTTAAGGGTCCTATCCATTACCTAAGGGTGACGTGAATGGGAACTAACATGTTATCCAGGATGACATTCCTATCTACCAGCTATCACAAAATAATAAACAAGATAACAAGATAGACCTGAGGCTGATGGCTTGTGACATTTCTTATAGTGGTATCCAAAAAAAAAGAAAAAGTCAGTAGAGCATTTTTCCTGTTTAAATCACATGAGGTGATTTATTTAGTTTTAAATGTGCCTGTAAAAGTATATGTATGTGTTGTAGGGTTTTTTGTTTGTTTTTGGTCTCTGAGGTGCCCATTTGTAGACTACAATGGTTTTTTTTAGATTCAAATAATATCATACGTAATCAGTACTGAAGTCAAGGCTTGGGTGGGGGTTGTCAAGTCTGTGGTTGTGCTTATGTGAGCTGTCAAGAGATTTTGTTGCTATGGGATATAATTTTTTAAAACCTTTCCAAGGACACCTGAACATCTCAGCTTAGGAAGGGTGATAGAGCGCTCAACAAAACATGCTTATTTCTTTATAATATGAGGATACTTCAAAAAGTTTATGGAAAAAATAGAATTAAAAGATAATATGAATCTTTCCACAAACTTTTTTTTTTTTTAAAGATGACTGGTAAGGGGGATTTTAACCCTTGACTTGGTGTTGTCAGCACCACACTCTCCCAAGTGAGCTAACCAGCCATCCCTATATAGGGGTTCAAACCCGTGGCCTTGGTGTTATCAGCACCACACTCTCCCAAGTGCGCCACCGGGCCGGCCCCGCTGTTGGTTATCTTCATGGTTATTGTTGTTCCCTCCCTTTGTTAAGGAATAGTCTCTGATATTAGTTAAAATTCATGGACAGTATTAAGTGTCTTCCCCACTTAATTACTCTCTGCCTCTCAGGATCTTGTCTGGGCCAGAACATCTCTAAGACTGGATAGAGCCAGAGGGCTATACCTTCTGCCTGAGTGAAAGCTCAGGGCAGACCCTGAGAAGCCAAACTTGTTTTTTTTTTTTTTTTTCCTTTTTGTCTTTTTTCGTGACCGGTAACGGGATCGCAACCCTTGGTGTCGCGCCCACACCGCGCTCAACCAGTGAGCGGACTGGTCTCTATATGGGATCCGAACCCTCGGCGGGAGCCGCACTCTACCGAGTGCGCCACCGGGCCGGCCCGAAGCCAGATTTGTTGATTCCAGGCTTCTTGCTTAGGACCAGGTATAGGAGCCAGAAGATTGGGAGGCTCCAGTGAATGCAGGCACAGAGGGTGAAGCAGGGGCAAAAGGTGGATGCTTGGCAACGATGTCCAGGGCTTTTGGCCTTGGGTAAGGCTAGAACATTCAAAAGTCTCCTTTAGTAGATGCCAACTTTTTTTAGGGGAGGGGGTGGTGGTAAAATATAAACATAACATAAAATTTACCACTTTAGCCAATTAAAGTACAATTCAGTGGCTTTAAATACATTCACAGTGTTGCGCAGTGTAGTGGTCGTAGCATCACTACATCTAGTTCCAGAACTTTTTCATCCCCACAAAAGGAAACCCCATGCCCATTAAGCAATCACTCCCCGTTCCCCCCTCCTCCCAGCCTCTAGCAACCAATAATCTGCCTGCTTTATATCTCTATGGGTTTGCTTATTCTGGATATTTCCAGCTACTCTTATGCTTCTCTTTTATTCTTTGACTAGCTGGCAACGAATCTTGTCCTCAGCCTCAGACTTCTGAACACCTGGCTGCTATAGAAATCATGAAACTGAAACATATTTTAATTCTACAAAATAAAATTGATTTGGTAAAAGAAAGTCAGGCTAAAGAACAGTATGAACAGATCCTTGCATTTGTACAAGGTAAGAAGCCATAATATCCAACAAATCTGTGAATCACTTTGAGGGTGTTTAATCCAGATAGTAGATATTAAATTAACTTTTAATATAGATTATCTAAAACAAGGTAGACTTAAGGGTCTTAAGCGTTATTTCTCTACTTGTTAGTGATCTGATATAACTAGTGGAATCTGTTTCTGAATTTGAGTTTGATATACTAAAGTATAATTTTGCTGGCTGAAAGTTAGAGCTGTAATTGTATTCTGGAAACTTTATCAATCAGATTTTAAAAAAAATCCTCAGTGATAGAAAAATGAATAAAAGCATTTTTTAAAAAAAACCCTAAGTCTTAAACTATGTATTCTTACCAAGTAGCTACTTTCAGAATTGAAAGTGACAGTGATTTACTTAATCTTTATAGTGTCCTTTTCTCTGTCTGCACAGTGCTTTTCATTTCAGGGAAGACATGATGTGTCTTACTGTTGACATTTTATTCTCTATTAGACTTGTTTATCTTGTTAGAAAGGTTTACTTCCTATGAACCCAGTTCTGTCATCACAAAAAAAATAAGTCATTTAGATTAAAATCTAATTTTGTTTAGTCCATTTCTTTGACCAGTTTGTTTGACATATAATTAATAAGAAGCAAATATTATATGTGCCAGCTAATATTATACAGCAAAGAGTCTATAATTTTGTCTTGACATTTATCGGGAGGTTAATTACATATTTGAAACTTTTCAACTAGTAAAGTGCTCTTTCCCATGAGTGTTAATATTTTATTTCTTTCAACAGTTTTATCACTTTTCTATATTAAATATGTCTATTAATATAACTTAATTTTTCCCATAAAGGGAAGCGTATTCATTTTAAGAAGTTAAAAGAAACATTAGAATATTGCCATCTTTCTAAACAGAATTATCACTTTTCACTTGTTGGCATTTTTTTTTTTTTTTCCCTTTTTGTTTCTTTTTTTGTGACCGGCAACGGATCGCAACCCTCAGTGTCGTGCCCGTACCGGACCGGGACCGGCAACGGGATCGCAACCCCCGGCGTTGCCCCCGCACCTCACTGAGCCAGTGAGCGGCCGGTCTGTATGTGGGATCCGAACCCTCGGTGGGAGCGCCGCCGCGCTTCCCAAGCGGCGCACTGTAGCAGTGCGCCACCGGGCCGGCCCCACTTGTTGGCATTTTTGTGGGCATGTTTAGACATCTATTTTAGTAATCTTAATTGTTTTATGCAATGTATAGAACAAGTTTTGTAAAAACGAAGAATTTTGATCTTTCTGAATTTTGTTGTATAGGTACAGTAGCAGAAGGAGCTCCCATTATTCCAATTTCTGCTCAGCTGAAATACAATATCGAAGTAGTCTGTGAGTACATAGTAAAGAAAATTCCAGTACCCCCAAGAGACTTTACTTCAGAACCCCGACTTATTGGTAAGTGATAGGAGTCACCTTAACTCTTAATTTGGTCTTTTCCACATCAGTTATTCCCCTTTCAGGCTGTTTACTAATACTTCCTCTTTCTGCAGAGGTGGTGATTTAAATCCATAAAAATTTTTTAAAAATCCATTAATTTTGAGATTGTATTGGTAATGCTAGATTGCATTACTGATGAGGGACAGGGTCCTGAATATAGTAGGAATTGTTAGCCTTTTTGTGCTCAGTATATGGTGTGTTATGTGATTAAGATGGAGTAACACAATATTCTCTGTGGAATTATAACATTTTCGTTAGGATGTTAGAACGTCCATACAAATGATTTCATTGTACAATTACTGAAGAACTGATATTGGTATAATTTGATCGTCTAAGCTTCTGGTTTAGAAGCTTATAGGAGCCTTTTCAAAGCAGACATTTAAACCCCTCTGGGCCTTTGTCTGTGGCTCCTGTGTGTTTGGTGGAAAATGTTCTATTGGGTGACCTAAGTGTAGGTCACGTAGTCCTAGCGGGGGTTTTTTTGTAGTTTTAAAACTAAATTTTTATTGCAAAGTCATATAATATAGAGGTGTGTAAAGAAAATGTCCACAATCTCCCTGCCTTCCAGTTCTAGTCCCTTAGCCCTGAGGTAAACAAAGTTAACATTTGGTGTATATTATTCCCATACCATTTTCTTTATGTCATCACGTATAAACACATACATATGTTTACTGTTTTGTTTTTCTTTGTAGAAGTAGGATCATACTATGTGCGTTATTTTTGTAACTTGTTTTTTTTTTTTTTTTTTCTTAACAGCATATGAGGGTCATCCTTCCAGGTCATTACATGTAGCTCTAACATTGTTTTTAATAGCTGCACAATGCTCCATAGTACAGCTATACCATGATATGCCACCTATTAATGAACTTTCAAGTTATTTCCATTTTTCCCATCATAAGCAAGGCCGCAGTAAGCATTAGAATTATAGTATTAGATTTTGTCACAGAGTCACCCCTTTGGTATAAATCTTGTATGGCTACTGTTTTAGAAAAGTTAACTTGGAAAAGAATATTTCTTCTAAGGTTAAATTAACAGAATTGCCTTTAAATTTTAAAATTTTCTTTTAGTTATTAGATCCTTTGATGTCAACAAACCTGGCTGTGAAGTTGATGACCTTAAGGGAGGTGTAGCTGGTGGTAGTATTCTAAAAGGAGTATTAAAGGTAAACTTGGGTTTTGGTTGTTGTGTTTTTGTTTTGTTCTTGTCTTAATCAGGAAGAAAGTATGGAAAATCCAAATTGAAATATAAAAAATTTTTATGGTGTCTGGTACTTGATATAGGTTTCTTTGTTTGCTCTTATCTCTTTTGAATATGTCTGTCCTCTAAGTTTATAGGTTTCTTGAGAGTATGGACCACATTTTATCTGGTGATAGACTTATGTGGTAGGTAGTTAGCAAGAGTTGGATGTTCTGGTCTTGAAGATCTCTTGCACATCTTTTTTTTTTTTTTTTTTTTTTTTTAATAATGATCTGTGAAATAGAAGGATTGCCTTTTCAGTTTTGTGGTCTTCCTGTTATAACTTTAGGCAGATGATAACTGTGTTGTTCCACAGTAATTCTGATTACTAATTGTATGTTTTCAGGTGGGCCAGGAGATAGAAGTCAGACCTGGTATTGTTTCCAAAGATAGTGAAGGAAAACTTATGTGTAAACCTATCTTCTCCAAAATTGTATCACTTTTTGCAGAACATAATGATCTTCAGTATGCTGCTCCAGGGGGTCTTATTGGTAAGAATTTTTCTCTCATCCCTTTTTTAATTTGCAGATATTCATGGTACTTTTCATGGGAAATGAATTATTCAAAAAGATATACATCAAACCCTTGAACAACATGGGTTTGAACTGTGCAAATCCACTTATACATGGATTTTTTTTCAATGAGTATATTGGAACGTTTTTGGTTAGGTATGTCATGCATTCATGGTGAATTATAACATTTTAGTCAGGGTGTTAGAACTTCCATACAAATGATTTCATTGTTACAATTACATTATTCACCAAACAGTTAAATAGCCTACCTAAGAGAAGGCTATTGGTAGTTATGTACATAAGAACTATGGAGTGGAAAGTACAAGAAGTACTTAAGTAGTAGTTAGGTTTTGGGAGGAGTCAAAAGTTATACATGGACTTTTGATTGTGGGGGTGAGGGGAGGTGTCGGTGCTCCTAAACCCTTTGTTGTTCAAGGGTCACCTGAATTAAAGAATTTTAATTGGGTATTTTATTTTATTTTATTTTATTTTATTTTTTTAAAAGATGACCGGTAAGGGGATCTTAACCCTCGACTTGGTGTTGTCAGCACCACGCTCACCCAGTGAGCAAACCGGCCATCACTATATGGGATCCGAACCCGTGGCCTTGGTGTTATCAGCACCGCACTCTACCGAGTGAGCCACAGGCCGGCCCTTAATTGGGTATTTTAATAATTGAATGTGGTAGGGGAGCATTCATGTGGTTAAGCTGTTGATTTTAGGTTATAAGATGATTTTGTGTGTGTAAAAATTATTTTTTTAAACATGAAGTATATGTTCTGATTTTGTCTGCAGTTTTTGGAGTAGTGAGTGGTTGCTTTTTATGTATGTTTTGCAAATGGAAAGTTACTTACAAATGTCAGTTGAATGATGTCAGATTATGCTTACACTGAGGTGGGAATAAAAGAAGATAATTTCCATTGTCTGGGAATTACTGAAATAACTTAACAATTTTCTAGTCCCTCACAACTTAGGGTATTACCAGATACCCAGAAAAAGGCAAGATTCAGTGAAATTTGGAGAAGTTGCAGCTTTGGATTAAGGAAGAAAATGTTTGGTGAGGAAGCAGTTTATTCTTCACCAAACAAGTTGGTTCTCTGGGTTTTGGCTATATAATTCATTTTTCCATTCTATCTTGTAATTAAGAGTTTACTGTATATGATTTTATCTCTTTTTTTTTTGTAAACAAGGAAACTCTGGTAACGCTTTTTAAAATTCAACTTATAGAACTCTTCAAACATAAGAGTAGAATACTGTAATGATAACCCCAATGTGACCACCACTCAGCTTCAGCAATTACAAAATATTTTACCAGTTTTGCTTCATCTATGTATCTTCTTCTCCCTCCTCCCCAAGACACACAGCTAAAATATTTTGTGGGTCCCAGGAATCATATATGAAGTCTTTAAGCTATTGTTTTGATCAGCCTTCCAGAGGGGAAATGCCATGCAAATATTCTGCAGACTACTCATTATGAATTTTATACCTTTTCAGCCTTCATTGAGGATATTCAGATTCATTTTAAGTTAGGTTATTATCTTTATTTGCCCTGTGTTTAGAATTTAATCAAGAGAATCTTTCTGTTCTCAATTGCCCAGTGAACCTGTGGGCTTACAATTCTGTTTCTTCAGATAAGATAGGTATTATGTTATGCCTGTGCAACTATTGCATGAGTATGAAAATACAAGTATGTATTAAAATGTATAGATGTGTGCTATGCATGTTTGACTAAACCTTTGGGTAAAATAATTTGCTTTATAAGTAGTTGCACTATATACATCTTATTTTATATTAGGAGTTGGAACGAAAATTGACCCCACTTTGTGCCGGGCTGACAGAATGGTGGGGCAAGTACTTGGTGCAGTTGGAGCTTTACCTGAGATCTTCACAGAATTGGAAATCTCCTACTTCCTACTTAGACGGCTTCTAGGTGTACGCACTGAAGGAGACAAGAAAGCAGCAAAGGTAAATGCTTTTTATAATTCCTGTTTCAAAAAAAGTGGCAAACAGTTAAAACCAGTTTCAAGTTTTATTCTTTTATCGTTAACATGAATTAAGGAAAAAAAAGGTAAATAAATTTAAATTCCCCCAAATTGAGAATTTCTATGGGGCAATAATCAGTTTAAGGTTAAATAAATAAATAAAAAATATTTGTCATGTATGACAAAGACATATTCATAAGATTTTTAAAAAATAATGATTAGGTTGGCAGAGGTGGAAAATTACTGACACCTAGTGTCGGCAAGGGTGTAGGAAAATGAGCATTCATGCTTTTGGAGAAAGTGTGAATTGGTAGTACTTTCTGAGAGAAATTTGGTGATATTTATCAACATTTTAAATGTGCAACACCCTGTCCCAGCAAATTTTACTGTAGTATTTTTTGTATTAATAATAATATATTAATTATGGGACTGTCCATTCAGTGGGAAAATGTGCCACTTGAAACCTATAGATATTGACATATAGAAAGATCTCCAAAATATATTAAACAAGGAGAGAGAAACAAGTTATAGAAGAGTTATAGAGTTCTCTTATCTGTGTAACACTGGGCTTCTAATTATAAAACCGTAAGAGTCTCATGGTGAAAAATTCACACAGCACAAATAAAACTGTACAAAAAGTTATTTTCATGAGAAAGCAATAAGGAAGTAAATCATTTTGACTGTGAGCTACATGCCTATATTGTAAAATTTTAGGTTTGTCATGTTTTTCAGAATTCCTTTAATACAAATTTTTTTTCTCATCTGGCTTTTAATAAAAATATGAAGCCATATAAAACAATGATCTAAATTTGGGCATTAGGCTTTAAGTGGAGAAAACAGTAGTAACAGGAATACCAGCTAATAATTCACTTAATCTAAAAACAACCATGTGTGGTAGGTGTTAGCCAATTTTACAGAGGCTCAGACTTCTAGTAACTGGCTTTGGTACAGGAGTGGAATTGGACTCCCAGAGCCATATAGCAGTTGTCCTACCTACATTTAAAAGGTTCTATGTTATGGTTAGTAGACTTATTTATTTGATTGTTTATTTGTTTATCATCATCATCATCATCAAATTTCTGTGGAATATTTTTTCTTTTTTGACTGACTTATTTCCAGAAGTATTTGGTAAATACCCACTCATTTTTGGAAAGCATTTTCTTGATTTGGGGGTTTGTTTTTCCCCAATTTATTTCCCTAGGTGCAAAAGCTGTCTAAGAATGAAGTGCTCATGGTGAACATAGGCTCCTTGTCAACAGGAGGGAGAGTTAGTGCCGTCAAGGCTGATTTGGGCAAAATCGTTTTAACTAATCCCGTGTGCACAGAAGTAGGAGAAAAAATTGCCCTTAGCCGAAGAGTTGAGAAACACTGGCGGTAAGTTTACCAGCCTTTGCCACTGTCTATTAAAAAGGACAAAGTCAATTTCCTTAATTTCTTGGTGGTGTACACACACTTGCACACTCTTCCTTGAACACAACAGTTATGGTGGCTTTACCTCTGAACTATTTATGTGGATGCCTTTTAAAACTGTATATCCAGCCTTGATTTGTAGTTCCATATTTTAGTCCAATTGACTTCCCTTCCTCTTAGACACAACCTATGCAAAAACCAATGAATTTAAGGTCAGTATTTTCGTTGTCTTTGACTTTTTTAAACTTTTTGTTTGGAAATAATTTTACACTTAACAGGAAAATTGCGAGACTTGTACAGAAAACTCCTATATACCCTTTTCCCAGATAGACACACACACACACACACACACACACACATTACACATTTTAAACTTTTTTCTGAACTGTTTGCGGAGTAGGTTATAGATGTTGTGCTCCTTGATCTTTTTGTACTTCAGTGTATATTTAAAAACAAGGATATTCTCTTATATGTGGATACTTCAATAAGTTCATGGAAAAATGGAACTGAAAGATAATACAAATCTTTCCATGAATCTTTTAAAGACCCCTTGTGTAACCATTTCAAGAAATTTAAGTTTATTAAAATAATGAAATCTACAGTACACATTTCAGTTTTATCACTTGTCCCAACAATGTCCTTTATGTTCCTCCAGCCTAGAATCATGTATTGCATTTAGTTTTCATGTCTTTTTGATCTCTAATCTAGAACTTCTTCAGCCTTTCTTTGTCTTACTTGACATTGACAATTTTGAGGAATATAAGCTAGTTACTTTACAGACTGTTCCTCAATTTGGGTTTATTTGATGGTTTGGAAAACTAAGATTAAGGTAATGTATTCATGGCTGGTATACTTATGTAGGTGGTGATGTCTCCTGAGGAAATCACAGCCACAGGCACATGATATCCAACTGCTCCTCCTTGTTAAGATTAATTTTGACTATGTGGTAAAGGTGTCCAGTTTCCCTGCTGTGTGGTTACTCTTTTTACCCTTGCAACTAATAAGCAATCTGTGGGGAGACCCTTTGAGCCTATGCAAATAATTCACTGCTCATCAAATCCCAGCCCCCTGGATTTAGCATCCAGTGATGATTCTTGCCTGAATTAAACTTGACTCTAATGATTGCAAAATAGTGATTCCCCCCACCAATTTCAACATTCCACATTTATCATTTGGCTTTTTTTCTTCCCCGTTATTTATCTATCTAGCTATAATAAGGACTCATGGAGTCCTGTTTTATTCAATAGGTTATGATCCATTACTGTCCTTATTTATTTTAATGTGCAAATTGTCCAAGATTTGACCAGTAGAGACCCTTCAAGCTGGCTCCTGGGTTTTTTTGACATGTCCCCATCTTTTTTTTTTTTAAACACTTCCTTATTTTCTGACCCAAGATATTCCAGACTCAACTTGTACCTTCCCTGTTCTGATTTTAGAATTGGCCATTTCTCCAAAGAACCCTAATTCTGTCACCTCTCCCTCGGGGTGACAGAGACGAAAATGCAAAGGATTACTCAAAGCTCATTTCTCCAGAGCAGTGAGAAGCCCAGAAGGGATTAAATCCAAGGAACAACCTCTTCAAGAAAGAAGGGATTCCTGGGAAATGACCCCAGATCAGGGCTTTTCTTGGTTTTTTATTGTCCAAGCAAAAAGTTACAGAAAAGAACACAGATGATTAATCAGTCATAGTGAAAACTTAACAAACTGATTACATAACAATTTTCATTAAAGCAGGTGCAACTTTTAAAAGTAATTTTAAGCAATTTACCCTCAAAGGAATCATAAAACTAAGCTATGTGACATACAAAAGAACCAATGAGATAATCGTTATGGCAACACTTAGTTCCCTAGGAAACTTAGAGAAGCAGTTGAAGATGAAATGTGGAACCAGCCGTGACTGGCAGAGTAGCCTTGAAGCTTTCAGTACACACATTTTCCCATAATTAGGTTTAGCTGCACCAAGGGCATCTGCCCTTAGAGCAAGCACTTATTCTGCGTTACAATTCTCATATCCCCACCAGAGACTTTTTAGTCCTGTGAAAGTTTTCTGTTTTTTCCCAAGCTTAGCATTTCTATGTGCAATTCTAAAAGGTTAGGTTCTTCCTTAAACTACAAGGCTTTGGCCTTGCTAAAACTACAGGGCTGTGGCCCCACTATGCTACAGCCTAAACTAAAGGGCTTTGGACCTTCTAACAGCTAAGGACTGTGGTCCTACTAAGATAAAGATCCTACTAAGCTACAGTCTGATCTAAGGACTGTGGTCCTACTAGGATAAAGGTTAAGGCCCTGTGAAATACATGTGCTTTATTAATGTTAGTACCCTCTACAAATTCCTTTTAGTGGGAAAGGGTATTTAGAAATGAAGATTTGGGTGCTAGGTGTGCTCATTGCTTCTAGGGTACTGTTGCTTCTAGGTCCTTTGGATAGAACTAGGAAACACACATCTTTGGCTCCTGACTCTTTGCTCTTTCTCAGGTTAGTTATTGAGTTTGCTCCTTTCCTTCCATTCTTTATGACCTTATCATAGTCCATACCACCATCATTTCACACTTAAAAGTTATTGCAGAAGACTCCTAATTTGGTTCTGTCTTTGTTATGTAAGAGCTCAGTCAAAATTGATCTTCCTAAAACCTTTTCATCATGCTGTGCTCAGTAATTTCTAGTAGCTTCTGATATTCATGACCTTTCCTGTTTAACCTTTTCTTCTGCTTTATCTTCTAATGTAAACCCTCTAAATTAGCTATCTCACATCCTGGTTATCTCCATAATTATTCAAATCACTTTTGGCTCTCTGTTTTTTCCTCACTACCTACCTCCTTTATTAAGGCTTCCCTGATACTTTATCCCATGATGAGCTCTCCTCACTTATTTTTTAGAAGATTGATCTGTATTATTACTCCATAACTTAAAAAGAGTAAAACTTTTTATTTCCTTTAAGTAAATAATCCTGCTTTTTGGTGATTTATGCCTGTTTGATTTTACTCTTTTGTGTGATTATACTATATGCTATTATAGACATAATGATTTCTAGTATATTTTAAAATGGGTTTAAATAAGAAACTTTCAAAAACTCTCAACATGGAGTTTATTATTATCATTTGGTTTGAATGGTACATTTCCTAGATTAGAACAGATTTTAAAACAAAGGATCTTTTTGTGTCTGCTCATTAATATTATAAGAGGATTCTATCCAAATGAAATTTCAGATTTAGCTTCAAAATGAGCAAGTATGTTAAAATTCTTAAATGAAATAAGAGAGCATCTGAATGATCCTTACATCTTTTAGAATTGTGGTTTTTACCCATATTTAGGTGGGTTTTATTTTAGAAGCTACAGCTGAGGTAGCAATATCCAACCTGTCATTGACTAGAGCAGACATTGAAAGAGGGAGCAGAGGTCCCTTTGCTGCTGATACTAATCTGCTTATAGACTATATGTTCCTCTAGTTCTCTTATTTTCATTTACCAGCTAAGGTCATGCTAAAGGCATTATGACCTGTTCTGGTGCTATGAATGGTAGGAAAGCATTTTTCAAGGAGAAAAGGATAGAGAATTAGATTTTAAAAAAACAGTCAGACTGGGGTGGTTTGTGTATTGGCATGGTTCCTTGGGTGGACTAAAGGGCTCTTTGGTGGTTCTGAAGGGGTAGATATGTTTTGATAGACTGAAGATGAGCATATTTATGGCAGTAACTTTTTGTTTGCTTTTCTTGTCATTCATGCTGGCCAGAGCTCATCTGTTTGATTCTAAGGATCTCAAAAGATAGTGTAGGCTTTCTTTATGGAGGAGTAGGCTTTGGGAACAAATTTGAACTTAGAAGATAGGCAGGTAAAATCGGTTCTATCATATGATTGTGTGGTAATGATAATGGGTGTAAAATTCATGATTTCTTTTATTTTCATTTTGCAGTTTAATTGGTTGGGGTCAGATAAGAAGAGGAGTGACAATCAAGCCAACAGTAGATGATGACTGAAGAATCTCTGTTAAATAATACTTTGGATGGAGTTGGAATTTCTCTTAACCTAGGGGTATATTTTCAAAGCAATACTAGGGAATTAATTTCACAGCTCATTACCTTATTAGTAACATTCTCATGTTTTGGTGATTAAAATTTAACCTCTAGTACTAAAATAGGGTCTTTAATAAAAATTGGAATCATGTTGGACTGAATTTGTATTTTAGCAGAAGTTAAGCATTCCTGAATCATGTCTAATTTGTATATCAAGGCAAATTTGAAATGAAACTGCTACAGCCAGCCTTTGCTGTAGCACACATACCACTGAACCTGTTTGAAATAAAGTTCTTTTTCATGATTCATCTTTAAGTAGCTCCAAGCTGAAGGACTTGCACCAGTAAAAACTTGACAATGCAAAATCTTGGAGAACAGCTACCCTTTGTTTGGCCTCATTTTATGTTGCTTGATCTTTGAAATTTTGAGTGAAAGAAAATTAATAGGTTCAAATGAAATTGGCCTTTAGAGCATGAGTGCTTGTTCCCATGAACAAACCTTTCCCTCCCCTTTCTCTTTTCCTGGACTGGAACACAGGAAACCAGAGCCAGAAGTTCTCACCCTCTATCTGTGATGCCCTGAGATTATTTCTGCTTTGCTTTATGCCTGAAAGCTGACAGTCTTCCCCCATTGGAAAATATTGTTGTACCAAATGATTCTAGATAAGTAACAAAGATCTTTCCAAGCCTTATTTTATGTTTTTTTCTTAACTGTTTAATTGATATGGTTATGATATAGATGATAATATTAGTAATCTTTGGACCTTTTGAGAGGTCAAGAGGTAAAAGATGTTAGAAAGCAAAATAAAGGGTGCTTTTTGGCCCAATGGCTAGACCTGTAGAGTTGGATCACTTTTTTCTTTCTGGTGAAATAAATGGTATTTCAACTTAGGAAAAAAAGAAAGAAAAGAAAAAAGAAAGCAAAGAGTGAGTTCTTTTTGATTTTTAAAAAACTTATTCTCCATGTCTCTGCACTTTTCCTGTGCTGCTTTTTCATTCTTTTTTTTTTTTTTTTTTTGTCTTTTTCGTGACTGGTAAGGGGATTGCAATCCTTGGTGTGGTGTCGCCCGCCCCGCGCTCAGCCAGTGAGCGCACCAGCCATTCCTATATAGGATCCAAACCCGGGGCAGGAGCGTTGCTGCGCTCCCAGCGCCGCACTCTCCCGAGCGCGCCATGGAGCCGGCCCTGCTTTTTCTTTCTTATTTATGTTTTTGCTTCATAAGAGATTCTGTTAGAGCAGTGTTTCCCAACTCTGGCTGACATTAGAATTGCTGGTGCAGCTTAAAAAAAAAAATGCCCTACAGAGATTCTGATTTCTTTTTTTTTTTTTAAAGATGACCGGTAAGGAGATCTTAACCCTTGACTTGGTGTTGTCAGCACCACGCTCTCCCAAGTGAGCTAACCAGCCATCCCTATATAGGGATCCGAACCTGTGGCCTTGGTGTTATCAGCACCGCACTCTTCCACATGAGCCATGGGCCGGCCCCCAGAGATTCTGATTTAATTGGCTTGGGGCAGAGCCCGGGTGTCAATATTTTTAAAAGTTCCCCAGCCTTGAGAAACAGGTTTAGACAGTTGAGAATTAAGTATATTAAATAACAGAAACTTACTGAGTTTTGGTAGTCTGATAATACTCTAGTCTGCTTTTCTTAAATTTGTATTGAGATGGGATTTGGTGTCATAGTCATCATATTGTGCTCTTTTGGGCGTTGAAGTTGCCTTGTAGAAGTTTAGAAGCTGGGGTTATGGGTTATTTAAGTTTATAAGTGTCGAGGATGCATATTAATGTTGTATGTGTGGTTGATTTTGAAGGGTTGTCTTGCAGCATGAGGAACACATTTAAATAAAATAAGGTTCTAAATCAAACATTAATTTTATATCTGAGATTTCCTCATTTGTTTTGTGAGTACTTTCTCCCAGAAATTCTGGAATAAGATCCAAAATATTGACTAAATTACCTAATTAATCTCATGTCAGAACTGAAACTGGAAATCTATTGTATTTGATTTCAAACATCCACATGAATTTCGACAAATTTGCAAACCACTGTGCTTATTGTAACGGATGTATATAGATATGAAAACAACGGACCTTATTTTTGTAGAAATTAAAGTTAGTGAAGTGGTTCTCAGCAACAGATGTACCTGGTTGAGAATCTGTAACATGATGTTACTGATGAAAGTACGTTGCATATGTAAATCCCCTTGGCTCTACTGTCATTTTCAAAATCTGACCAGTTCTCATCACCTTCACTGCTACCACCCTAGTGAAAGCCACCAGTGACTCTCACCTGGATTAGCCTTCTAACTCCTCCCTGCTTTTATACTTCTGCTGCAGTCTGTTCTCAATACAGTAGCCAGAGTTATCCTTTTTGTGAGAGAATGCTATGTACAACTCTGTGATGATAAATTGTGAAAGTCTCACAGAAATAAGGGATATGAAGATAGTCTAGCTGTCACATCATCCAAATGAATTCCATGCTGACCTAGAAAGCTCTTCTCCCTATTTTACCCTGTATGTAACCTCCAAAGATGATGTGTGTGTGCATATTTTTGCACAGGAAAAAGAACTAATAGTGTGCAAATAACCACACTCATAAAACTCTTGAAATCTCATTTCTAGGAAAACTTGATATGGTGATGCTTCCAATGAAATGGATGCTTTTCTGGAAATACATAATATTTTTTTTAATTACCAAAAATGAAGCAGATACCCTTGAAAGATTGATAATCATGAAAATGAGAAGGTCCTTTAAAAATTACCTCTGCAAAAATGTCCACAAACTCAAAGTACACATTCTGCTAAATTTCAAGACATAGGTCATTTTTTTAAAATTATTTTTTGAAGATGACCAGTAAGGGGATCTTAACCCTTGACTTGGTGTTGTCAGCACCACACTCTCCAAGTGAGCTAACCGGCCATCCCTCTATAGGGATCTGAACCTGTGGCCTTGGTGTTATCAGCACCGCACTCCCAAGTCAGCCATGGGCTGGCCCTAAAACGCAGATCATTCTATGTTATTTAAACTTCCTGAATATAGGAAAAGAAAGAGGGAAAAAAGCAAATATCCCAACTCATTGTTCAAGAGTATTATATCCCTGCCACCCAAACCTGGAGAGAATACGCCAAAAAAAAAAAAAAAAAAACCCCACACAAAAAAACTAGAGACCATTCTCACATATATAGATATAAACTCCATCAGTATAAAATTTTAAGTCCAGCAGTGTATTAAAAGAATAATGTGTTCTTGTGTATACATAGATATTTTATATGTTGAAAGAAAAAAAGTATTTTGGAGATGTACGATGCTATTCAAAGTAACTTTTAAAACCTAGGTAATGTAGGGCTGGCCCATGGCTCACTCGGGAGAGTGCGGTGCTGATAACACCAAGGCCACGGGTTCAGATCCCATATAGGGATGGCCGGTTAGCTCACTGGGTGAGCATGGTGCTGACAACACCAAGTCAAGGGTTAAGATCCCCTTACTGGTCATCTTTATAAAAAAAAAACAAAAAACCTAGGTAATGTAGAGAAGTAAACTATGCACTTGATGTAGTGTACTAAGCAAAGAACTATCAGAACCATTGTTTTTAATGAGGAAACATTGGAGCATGGTAACATCTTTTCACAATGCCATAAGTAGGGTAAAATTTTCAGTTGGGTAAAATATGGGGCTATTATGAGGTAATGAGAAAACTAGGATGAAGTTCAGAGGGTGGGAAAGCAATCATCAATTACATTATGTCAGAATTCACGTTATTGTTTGGTTTCTCTATATTCTCATTAAGATCTGGAACAAGTCAGGGATGTCAGCTACCACTTCAATTCTACATTTTTCTCTGGGGCTTAGCCAATGAGATAAATATTGGGAATGGAAAAGACAGAACATTATTTACAAGGCATAAGATTGTCTACCTAGAAAATACAACCCAGAAAGTGAAAAACTAAGAGAGTTCAGTGAGGTGACAAAGTTCAAGATAAACAGGCAATATTAATAGTTTACTTATACACCACACACACCAATCAAAATGCAGTGGATATAAACTATTCAGATATGCATTTAACAAGGATATGCAAGATACCTATGATAACATTTTGCTAGAGGACAGAAAAGGAGATATGAATAATAAAGTAGACAATATTCTTGGGTGGGAACACTCAATATTGTACAGATCACTTTGCCTCCCATTTTTTTTCCTACAAATTCAATGCAATCTCAATCAAAATTTCAGTAAGTCTTTTCTTTTTTTTTTTTTTTTAAAGATGACCGGTAAGGGGATCTCAACCCTTGACTTGGTGTTGTCAGCACCATGCTCACCCAGTGAGCAAACCGGCCATCCCTATATGGGATCTGAACCCGTGGCCTTGGTGTTATCAGCACCACACTCTCCCGAGTGAGCCAAGGGCCAGCCCCTCAGTAAGTCTTTTTAAAGAACTTGTCTAGCTGATATTAAAGATTTGGAAAAGTAAGTTCACCATAATAGTAAATAACTATTGCATTGCTTTAGTGAGCCGAAGACTGGCAGGAAGAGACCCTGTGTGTATACTTACATGATGTATGATTTGGGCAAAGATTCAGAAATTACTGGCAATGAAGTGGTCCCACAGAACAGGAACAGATGCAGCATATCACCATGGAGTTTTTTTGTGCCCCAGACTCCACAACAGGGAGGGGTTGTGCTGCTGTTAGTGACTTTATTATAAGTAGGGTCTTACTGGATCAGAGACACTGAGTTTTGTGCTGGGCCATTGTACTTCTATACTCAGGGATTATATCACTGTTCAGGAAGAATTTAGATGAATACTTTTAATGTTTCCATTGAAGGGAATGTTTGCAAATGTTGAGCACTGGTGAAATTACACACTTCTGGAGGATAGAGCAGCATCATTGAACAATACATCTGACTTCAGCTTTTTTGTAACAGGGAAAATCCATCTCTCACAAGTATGTACAGGCAATTTATGAAAGAAATAGAAATCCCAATACACATTTGTGAAATGCTCAGTGTATGTAGTAATAAGAAACAGAAAAACTAACAATGATGTGATATCATTTCCACTTACCAAAATTCTTGAATATTAAAAATATTTATAATCAGTTGGTGAGGATGTATTACCGGTGAGAAATGTAAACTGGCACATTCTTTAAAGAGGGCAGTTGGATTATATCTATCAAGGTCTAAAATGTCTCACCCTTTGACCCAGAATTCTACATCTCAGAATGAAAAAGGAATATTTGCTCATGTTCACAAGCATATGTAGAAGGATGTTCATTCCAGCATTGTTTATTATAGCAACAATTGTAAGATACCTAAATGTTAGTCAGAGGGAACAATTAAATACATTTTTGTGGTACATTTATTCTATTATGAAATAAAGCTATGAGCTACCTTTGATTCAGCCCTGGTTAAAATTAAAGGTGAACATATTGGTCCCAAAAGTATTTTATGGAAATCCCTGAGAGGAAATAATTTTTTTGACTTAAAGTGATTTGAGAATCGGAAATACAGTATTGATTATCACTCACCTCAGCACAAAGGAGGAAGAGGAGTGTCAAAGGAACAAGCTCCACATCGGTATCAGCATTGAATCTGTTAGAATCACAAGTTTATTTTCTCAAACAGCTTTATAGACAGAAGGCCAAGACTAACAAGGGAATTCATGCCACTTCTATAGTAGTGAAATTATACATTAAAGTTTATCACTATTTGGCTGATGTATCCATTACAATATTTTCCTACAACAAATACTTTCTATCAAATACGATTTCCTATTACAGTGTAAAGTGATTAATATGTTCCCCACAACAAACATATAAAAAGACTCAGCAGGAAT